AAAACGAAAGAGATTTTCTTCAGATACTACGGGCGCCCTGATTGGTCAGAAACCTGTCGTTCATTGCACCAGTAAACCTAAAGAAAAGTGAAGTTTATTTTGTAATTCACTACAGATAATATTCGGTTGTGTGGAATTATTTTTGTTTTGTTTTGTTTTCCTAGACCTTGATGACGATGAGGTTTCAACAAGTTGACGTTAGTATGACAAGTAACCATTTGGAATTATCTGATAAATTTATGCAAGTCGTGTCAGGTGCAAATATAATTTGCATAATCGAGCTCGCCGAATAACGAATTTTCGCGTGTTAAAGTGGAATTATTACGATACTACATTCTAACGTGTTTCTGCTTCAATTTATAGTCGCTCCTCCTTCTAAGTAAATATTTATCAAGCGGATAAGCGTCTTACAATTGAACAAATTACGCCTCACAAAGAAATAAGTCAGATTAAAATCACCACGGGATGTCTGAAGAAGCATGTGCTAACGAACAAAATGGCTCGACGGCCGGTCCAAGCAGGTATTTAAAAATAAAATAATTCACATGTAGACTGTCTTAAAAATATTATTCCCGTGTATCCCGAGTTCCTTATGTTAGAAATAACGTATTTATTGATATGTTTCTCCTCGATTTTAAGGGTAGAAGCGAAAATTTTTCATCTAAAAATCGCTTTCAACGGTGAAGATGAATCAATGTCGAATACAGTCCTTCCTATACATGCATAGATAAACAAAAGACTTCCCAGTAGGTTTTAGTAGTTTAAAGAAAGAAACTAGAATGGATGAATTAAATTATTCCTAATATGAAGGTGTGCTTAAGTAAACTCAGCTGAAAGCTATTTTATAGAAGCGTTAATATTCTACAGATCCTATCAAAAGGTTTGGCAAAATGGATAGCGTATGTGAACGTTTTGAGAGCCGTAAATTTAGACAAATATTTGTTTCGGTTTCGGTCCGCGTCCATAATTCGAAAATATTTGCTGCAGACTTTCCGTAGAGAGTGAATTCATTCAGCTAACCACCCTAAGCGAGATAAATATGAAATTTTGTAGAAATAAATTATTGGGAAGTGGCTAGTTTTGCATATCAAGTCGCTTTTAAAGTAAAATACCATATTTGAATAAGATGTGAGGTGACGACTTTCGCATTCCATGCTGAATGCATTATGAATTTCAAAACTGTAAAGATTTTGTCAGCGGAAATTTCAGAATTTTAGGCTTTCAATCGTTAACTTCAATGAACAAAGCATTCCAGGATGGAAATGATTTTCAATTCGCGAATGTTGAGAATTTTCGTGAAAATGCTGCAAGTTTATACATCAACAAAGCTTGGGAAGCCAAAAATAAATAGCAAGAGAATAAAAAAGTCGAAATAAGTAATTTCAATTTGTTATGTATGGAATTATTTTTGAATTTTGGTCTTCACAACGACGCCGGCTGGGATAGTGTTTTAAATAAGAGATCTCTGAAGCCAGAATTTTTAATTCCATACTTTAACTGAGTCTTCAAACTTTTTTTTCCACTTTTCTCCCATTTCTGCGTGAAAAGTTCCTTTTATTTGTAGTAATTTGATTTCTATTCGCACGAGCTTCCAAACTTGCTCTCAGAAAACGTCACTTTCATTCCGGGTGATAAATTCTCCATTTTTTTTTCTCTGACAGTTCACAGAAATTAAATCTACATGGCTTTCCAAAAGTCAGAGTTATGTCCAAAGAATAAAGGAGGTAGGTTTCTAAAGAAACTGTGGTGCTGCGTCGGTGGGAGAGTATAACTGAGTAATTAAGTGCTATCAAATGAGTTGATAACGTAAATTGGCCACGGTAAAGAGTTTAAAAGCTGATCGAGCGTGAGCCCTTCGTCAGCGATGAAAGAAGGGCTCACGCTCGAAACTCAGTTTTATGTCAGCCTGTTGCAGCCTGTCCTTTTCCTCCTCTTTCCACGAAAGGAAGCGAATAAAAGGAGGACGTCTCATGGCAAGTTAGGAACTCCTTGACCGTTAAGACCCGTCATAACTACCAGTATACGCAGACCGTCACCACTACAAGTATAAGGGGAACGCTTATTACCTAGCGCTCACGATGCTAAAAGTTCATTTGTAATCTATGGCTCTCAACGTTGAAAGTTGTCGTTGTTCCTGTATTTATACAAAAACAGAGGCGTTTGACTAGCATCTTAGCGTTTCCCGGAGAAGGCAAAGTCCGTCATTATCAGGGGAGACGCCCTTTCACCTTTAGGAGAATCTTGTGGAAAGTTCATTTCAGGCGTCTAAGCGTGTCTTGCAGTTCCTTTGTGACGTGGGGCTCTTACGGATTTAATTGTTGACAGACGCTTTTAACCGCTCCTCTAACTAGCACTATTTCAAAAAAGTGTCTACTTTTTCGGGATCGCGTAGTCTGATGTATGATTCTACCTCGGCCACGATCTCTGTGGCTCGTATATTCTGAGAAGTTACCGCGAGTATCAGCAGTATTCAAGAAATCATAAACCGGATCACGACACAACTTCTATGTTTTGATCTTTCCCTCGTCTTACTCTAACATCAGTATGCATATTCTCCATACTGTTCTGTATACATTTCCTAAGAAGCTGACAAAGAGTATTTGTTTAAAAGTCGAGAGCTTCTCAAGTTTGCTATCATTTTCTTTATTCTCGTGAACGTAATGTTTGATTCAGGGGTGATTTTGGAAGGAGAAATTAGATGAAAGTCACTCTTAGGGGTTCAGAGCCTTAAAATGGTTATTCCATCGTCGAACCGAATACACTGTAGGAAATTTCAGTTGGGAAATCAGGTATTCTTGCACAGTCTGGTCTTTTTTCTGTTACTTAAATACACTTACTATCTGCATAATTACCATGATCTTAATGTTCAGAACACAACTGCAAAACTTGCTCGATAGCTTTAACCCTTTATCCTACGTGTGACCAAAACAGAATTTCTGCTAACAGTGTCAATACAATATCAAGCAGACAAGTGATGAAAATAAGAAAAATCTTGATTAGGGGATTATTAGTTGATACAATACCAAACTCTCCAAATTAACATCACAAGAACCATATGGCAGACAGTAAGGAGAATTACAAATGAGATCTTGGGAGTTAAAGTGTTATTACTCGCTACTGTTGCCTGCACTTGTTCTTCATTTTTTTTTTGGTTATTGAACATGTTTTCCCTGGGTTTTACCCATTCCTGGCTAGTTAATACTTTCTCGCAGAAGCTCCTCAAGAAAAACGCAGAACGTGACTAAATTTGTCTCACTCTACTGCGAAGTGCCATTTAGCTTGTTAAGAACAGCAGGGGAAAGTAAAGCGCTACGTGCCAGTCTTTGAAAGTGTTTATAATTAGAAGGTGAGATTTCGAAATACGATCTTTACCACACACTACTTCTGTAACATCTCTAGAAAGGATATCTAAAATTGAAGGATTCTGGTGAAGTTTGGCTCTTCAACGTTAACTGAACAGAGGAGAATACCAGATTGTCAACATTTTTCCAACATTTCTGTCGTTGTGGCCTCAGAGTGCAACACGCTGGGAATTTTTTTGTTGTGGAATCTGAAAGATCTATGAAAAGAAAACCAATTGGAATACGGTAGTGTTTATGCAGTTTAAGGGAGTAGTGTTTGATGCGGAGCTTAAACGTTGAGCACTGACGCTTCATCAGAGATCACGTTTAATATCCGAATAATTCGATGGAGCTGGCTTGGAGTCAATTTATCGGCTTCCATCGTCTTATCAGAGTATTTACCAAAATAGGTTATACATTTTATTAAATTATGCGTCCAATAACCTATTTTTTATCGATTTAAATTTATGATGGTTTCCTGAAAGACAACAGTTATCATGTCCATCCTGTTCTTAAAATATTTGAACATTAAAGTAGCATTTCGAGGGTAACATGTACAGCTTTTTTGGTTTTGAAAAGAATTTAATATTATGCTCTCTGGCTGTTAACTCCTTTTCCATCTAATTAGACCCAAAATCTTATTGTGAAAATGGAAAAAAAAAGTACCAAAGGGATGCTCATTTAATGATGAGCTTCTGTTGAACAACAGTTAACTGTTGGGGACTCATTGTTCAACCAGCCAAAGGCATGCCTTTACTTAACCACTCTTTGCCGTTTGCACAAGCAAACCTTTTTGTAACACTGACAGTCTAGATTGTGTCTATAATCCCGCGATTCGTGAATGTGGCTAAGTATAGAGGTACCCCAGACAATCACAACAATTATAATAATTTAAATGATAATAAACTATTACATACTATTTCGGGATGTACGTTTTTTTTTCCTTTTTTCACTTCTAAAACGATCACGTACATGCAGTGAAATAACAATGAGACTAAATATTTTCCCAAGCCAGTTCTATGATATGCTTTTTCCTCGGCTCCACTTCCCACGATTAAATTTACTAATATTAACGTACCACGGTAAGTGAAAAAATAACCTTTTCTAAAAACGTTGAAATTATGACTTGTTTGCGAGCGACTCTGAGGATCAAACGATCCATTTTAATATTTTACTTAGTGTTAATAATTGACCAAAGCAATTACCGTATATATTCAATGTTGTGGTTAATGAATACCAAACTGAAGCAACATCCTTCAACAACTGGTGACAACGGGCGTCGCGTGTAGAGACAAGAGAGATTCCGACGTAGCAATACTGTTATTGCCGTCAGAGGTCTATAGAAAAGGCCTTTTGCGGTACAAAAACCATTTAAGTGGAGATCACTATCTGGGATCTGTCGGAGTACTCTTAATTTGAGTGTGCTAACTGATAAATCTTTTAATTTTCCTCAGGTTACGACGCAACAGATTGGCATTAACTGAGATAAACGTGCTTTGGTACTCGTTTAATTATCTGAGCGGCAGCTTTGACCAGATTGTGAATGTAGACAAAGAAGTGCTTTCCTTTTAAAGGTGAGTTATTTAAGGCAAATCTGCATTATCAAAGAGACCGATGAAAACTTGAAACCGACCTTGAAGGTTCGGTTGTGGTTTAATTGTAACTTGGCGGCCAGATGGAATCTGTAGTCAGATATTTAAAACATCTTTTTACAACACGGATGTTGTACATATTCAATTGGCTGCTTTTCGATTAATCGGCGAAGTTCCATCTCGAAGCATATTTGTTTTGTATTAGAATGATTCGTATCAAACTACTACTAAATACGATGTCTTCGAAGGTTTGTTCGTGAGTGCCAGATGAAATCTATTTTTAGATCTAATGCCTCGAACATATGGCCTTAATTTCAGTTACTTACAAATTTCCTCCATCCGCTCTAAATGCAACAAGGAAAGAAACAGGGAAAGCGAAAAAAAAAAAAAGTGAACAAAAATTAAAGAAAAGAAGGACCGATGACATTCAGGTGAAGGGAATAACACTGAAATGCAAGAGACATCACTTTACTCTAGTGTGGAATTATGCTCACCCGACCGCTACTGGCAACAGTCCTTTCAGGACTCTTTTCACAGGGAGGGTTAGACTACGCGATCAAATGCTACTCTTAAGTTCAAGCACGCACTGTTTTTAATGCATCTTTCACTATATTGAGTCATTCCTGCCAATGGATTTCCTTAGAATTCCTACAAATTGATCTCTCAGAGACGTAGGGTCACGCAATATTCGCTTACGAGCAAATTTTTTTCTAAGAAAAAATCGCACACATCACCTTAAACTGTAAGAGAACTTAAAAGACGAGTAGCAAAGTCAATCTAGAGAGGCAGTAATCGGCAGCAACGAATAACAAATATCAACACTGGCTTTTCAGATCTGAAAGCTAATTTGTAAGATAACTACACGAAGTTCTTTTTGTTGGCTTGTCCTGTCCTGAGAATCTGGCGATTAATTCAGTCGATATTCGCTATTTGATAATTTTTTAAATTCTTGCTACCTTTATGTTGGATAGCGTATTAGCTTTTGAGGAGAATTTAACATTTGATCGATCAGCAAAAAGCGAAACGAACCCCATTACATTCTTGACCCTTTTAACTCCCATTAGTGATCAAGGTAGAATTTCTCCACACAATATCGATGCAATATCAAGCAGACAAGTGATGAGAATAAAGAAAAAATATAAATGAGGGAAATTATTACTTGATTCATTACCAACTTCTCCGAACTAGCCTCAAGAACCGTAGGACAGACAGTAAGGAGAACTGCTTATGAGATCTTGGGGGTGATAGGTTTAAACTGATACCTAGGACTGAGAATAAAAATTTCAGTACCTTGCATAACGTGGTGTATAGATTGGGTTGAACTCGGTGACTCTTAGAAAATAGTTTTTTGTTGTCTTGGAGTATATTGGTATTCGTTAGAGACGCCAAAGGCGTGGTTGCTGAGCCGAGTTTGTACAAGTTTACAAAGCGATCAATGAGGAATTTCGGATTTGTAGAATTACCAGTACATTAAGTTAATCGAGAGCTTTACTTTGCTCGTATCACACTTGAAAAATTTCTGCAAAATCAATTCAGAAATATCTCGTGACGAGGATTAAATTGACGTCATTATGGCCGTGCGGTTTAAATCAACAGCAATATGCATGAGCAATTTCGCTCTATGCTAACCCCCTCTCGTGCGTTAAACAAGGATTTCTAGCGTGTTTCTGGGGATAAACTCGTGCCGTGATCGTGCAGTAAGAGCCACGTAGCGTGATCAAACAGGTATGTTCTTGGTGATCATTATTTAAATGCTCTATGTCCTCTTCTTCTTTGATTTTAGATATAACTGCTTTGTAAGACGAACTGATGAATTTGCATACAGGGGGCTTTCATTTTAAAAGTCAGTTTGATCATTTGATTTAACGAGTTTGATCGATTGAAAAGGAAACTCACCAATGTTACTTTGTCTTGTAAGAGTTTGTTTAACTTGATCAGTCATTGTTACAGAATTTCAGTTGAAGACCCAGTTAGTGATTTTCATCGCTTAAATATTACGAATTCTTATTCAAACGAATGTTGTTCCTCTTTAAAAGTATTCGAGCTCTATGGTTGCATAGATAAATCAGCAAAATTTTCACTTCCCTATGGGAAATACATGTGATGTGGTCGAGTCTCGGAAATTGGGCTGTCCAAGGTTACCGATCATTCAACTTGGATCAACATTGCTCGTGTCACAATTGTAGATCCCTAAGAAATTATTCAAATCGTTGCGATTGATGTTGCTATGACTTGTATTAGAAGGGAATCTTAACGATAAGTTCCCAAAGTTTTCGTTATTTTCTGAGGATTAACTTGAATCGCATCTATACCTAAGACATGGAAACATCGTGGTGCTGATTGGCGACAACATCAACTGGAAGCTCGGAATCTGTGTTCGAGTCTATGATCATAACTTCATTAATTTTGTTTATATATCTCAACCGTTTCTTGTTCATTAAAAGCCACGATATCCAGGCAATTCGAGAAATAAGTCTAAACTATTAGACAGTGTTACTTTCACCATGCCTAATCTTTTTCTAGAAATTATTCAGTCATTTTAGAAAATGTATTTGTTTTTGAAGTGTAGCTTTGGTGACTAAACCATATATTTCCTCTTTGAAGGATACGAGTTGCACACTTCTAACTGAGCCTGATTTGTTTGTTTAGAACGTTTTAGCACTGTTATTGACATTGAAAAATGTCAAAATAGACCAGTGTTTGACAGAGAACACTCAATTATCATTTTACATAATTATTGAACCATAAAAGATATGATAGATACTTCTTTCTGTAATTTTCGTTTCGGTCTTGTGTTTATAAACCGGAGAATAGGAAGTTTGATCAATAAAAAACATTCGCATTCCCCGACGGCTTTGGATACAGTACCTCTACGCGTAAATGCTGGGTTCACCCGAAAATTGTTTGCCGGCATTTAGCCGGAAAGCAAGAACGACGCATTAGAAAAACTACAAGGATTGTAGGATATTTATTTGAAATAACGCTAAGAAAGATTTGCATGCCATCATTACCAAGAACTACAGCGACGCTAATTTCTCTTCATTTCAAACAAACCGAACTACGTAATTTGGTTTCGGGTCTTCTCATGGAAAGGCTTATGACCTTAAGATTTGCAGCATATGAGGAGAGACGGGGGAGAGGAGATAACAGCTTAAGGAAGGGGCTTGCAATTCTTCTCAGGTTTTTTTGAAATGTTTCAGCAATCTATCCTTTTCATGCTCATTTTTTATCTTCAGAAAAATTCGGCATAGCAAGGTCGCACTTTGTTACTTGTTTGAAAGGAAATCTGTTAGACGTAAAGATGAAATATCATGTTCTACGCATGAAGAAATGGCTCGTTCTCTTCAGCTTCCATGTAGCTCGAAATAAAAAGGATGGAGAACGTGGAAATTTTACTGTTTTCTTTTTTTATTATTATCATTAACGCTTCAGTAAGAGCGTTTCTTCACTCGCCTATAAGTTTGAGGTGTCGAGAAACGCAAGCTGGGTAGTGGTCTATTCGTGTCCTACGGCAAACTACTCCCCGACTCGTCTCAAACTTCTCAGGGGCAGAGAGGAGCTTAGAACCAAGTTTACATACGGCAAACGGCAAAACTTGCTTTAGCTCTTTCGGCTGTTTTTTCATCTAAGAAAAAAAGTTAAATATTTGGACGTTTTGTGGCTAGGGGAAAATATTTTGAATTCTATCCACTCAAGGATTAAAATTAAAGAACCGAAAGCAAAGGTTAATTTTTCCCTTCGCGTTCGCCCTTTAGCATAAATCAAAATCCATGTAGGTATTGATACTCAAGTCGTAGAGCTTTCATTAATACCCGAAAATCCAGCTGATGGTATCTGAGCCTGCATTGTATCTGCGGTATTTTTCCTCTGTTCGAGGCTTTTATGTTTTCGTTTTTGTGGTGATCAAAAAAGCTTGCTTTTATCTGTTGGTACCGAACTGCTTTCACCCTGTTAAGCCCTAAGAATGACGTTTATCAATTATTAAAGAGATTAAAACCGACAAGGTTTGAATACACTATTTGCATAGACCGTGAATAATAGTGTAGTAAACCGCTACCCTGCGGGATTCTCCGATAGGAAGGAAAGGATGATTTTTCCTTTGGGTCTTTGGACGTGACACTCATCTTCGCGCTCTAGTGAATTCACCAGAGTAGCTCTTTTTTTACAATTAGTCCCTTAATGCTCTCTCAATTACAGACATAGCATATCCGCCTCGAAAATTCAGCAGCACCTAGTCCTGCAAAGATATCGCGATCGTTGAATTAAGAGCTATTTGTTGTTGATTTACAACGACAATGACCCTTCATTTCTGTCATTGTTCGGGGTCGCTCTTGTTTGAATCGATTATGTCTCAGTCATTGTTATTGTCACACTCCAAAGCATGCGCTTGACTTCGCGCAGTGTGACGAGTTGTCATGCAAATTTTCGTACGTGCTTGACGCAAAGTCTGTGCTGTTCCTATTTATGTTGTACTGCACGGTTATGTTGAGGAATCAGCTCGTTCATTATTGAACAATGGGGTCGTATATTGAGTGAGTTTCGAGTTTCTTTGCGATACTTTTTTGATTTAAAACGAAAGTCGGCGCGACTGCTTTAAGTTTCATTTCACTGAATGATTACACGACGATGATTTTTCTCTCAGAAGCAGCGGGAAAATCCGAAGAACCGATCTTAACGCGAGCTTGATGACGGTTTCAAGTGACGATTCATCGGCGACCAGTACATCGCAGTGTGTTGTCTCTTATCCCGATGTCAGCTCAAGCAGGGAGGCGAAGACGATAGCGCGGCTCAAACTGGCACTTGAACTTGTGGCTTTAGGATTCTTGACTATGACTGTGCTGTTTATTTGGCAAATCACGAAGAAACGGCCCGATGCTGTTGTACAAGTGAGTCTTAAATTTTACAGAAACTGACGAATTGAATATTCGATTTAGATACCTGTTTTATTTAGCTCTCGAGTCTTTCTTTAAGCTCTCGATCGATTCTTGGCACAGATTTGTTTACATGTATATCATGCGGCCTACAGGTTTTTGATTGGCTACGCTCGAGTGCGCCATGGAATCTAAACGGCTTCAAAAAGTGCAGCATCTGCTAAACTCCTCGGTCCTAGCAAGCTCTTTCTGTGCTGGAAAAGTATCGATAAAGAACTTAGTTTACGGTCTGACATTTCAAACCGGCCATATCGTAAATGTAAAAAAAAAAAATATGGACTCGAAGAGGTATTATGTAATGAACTTTGCATAATACCTTTTACTGAGTAAATCAAGAGTGAAACACAGATACATATTTTTTCTTACTTTCAAAGTAAGGCTCTTCCTGAACCTCCTACATCTATGAAGAATTATATCAAACATATCTGTATGTAAATTTTATTTACGCAAGTATCATTTTTTGGAAATAGTCCTGATTTGTATACTTCTTATGACGTTTTAATGTTTACATAGTTGGTATTTGTCTATTTTTCGTATGGGCACACTTTATTTGGATCTTCCCTCTGTTTTGTGTCCCGCACCTTCGTTCTTATGCCCTCTTCAAATGTGTCTCTTTTCCCCAGTCTTATTTTAGCACTGTGATCATGGTGAAAGCGATTAAATAAATGATAAGTTAAGGTGTTCTAAGGTAGCTGCAGAGAAGGTTGTATTATTGAATCTAGTCATACTTCTTTGTAATGGAAATCATGTCAGTTTTACGTACCGAAGGAAGTCCTTAATCATGTTACACATTTTCTTTGGCAGAACCCAGTTGATCCATCAACGACTCAGGTAAGCAGACTGATTGAATATAAAGTAGTTAGTTTACAATGTCATTTCCTCGCTGCAATGCACTGTTTCTTGATTTTTTTAAATTTACTACCAACGCTATCCCTGGCCATATTGCATGGAAACGCGCCAAATTTCTGTCCAAATGCTTTTCAATGCTTTTGTCTTACCGTGGGAAATGCAATGGCTAAATGGCTAATATTGGCCAGACTGATTGAGAGTGTGGAACCCTCGTTAGATTGGACTACTTTTTGGACTATCTTTTGAGCCACTACAATTTCTGTCAATTAGGAGCTTAAGTAACCTTTAGCATTCAAGAAGAAAATACCGAGGAAAACGTCGATTGAAAAATGAATATATATTTTTAGTTAGAATTTCGCGAATGGCTGGATGTGTTTACCGTCTCTCACGGCGCCACATCTTGATTTCAGCATAACGTATGTGAGCAGCGTTGAGTTTTAATTGGAAATTTGAATAATTTGCCGTCGGAGTTTTGTTCATAGACGACCCAAATTTTGGTGATTTCACGTTGTTGTTTTGTAGAAGACGGCAAAGAAATGTACAAAGTTTTAAAACGCACGTGCTGAATTATTGTTCTGACATTTGTTCTTTTGTTTTGCTACGTCCTCGATCGTTGCCGTCGCACTCGTATTTTGCTGAAGGTCCCTATTTATTGATACAAGCATTACGTAATATTCGACATCGCCGAGAAGCAAGGACTGCTCGTGGTCTACGCGTGCAGCAGTGTTTTTGAAACACACCGACAAAAAGCAGATTTAGACATGCCTAGTTTCGGTCTATTAAACGCAAACAATACCTTTCACACTTAATCCCGAAGTAGTGAGTTTGGCTAGGGTACTGAACCTAACAGTTGTTTACGTCTTTTTGCGTCACCAAGATTTAATCTTTTTTTTTTGTCTCTTTTTCCTTTTTTGGTCCAGAAATATTTGACTTTCAAAAACTCCCCGTGCCCTATTATGATCGAGAGGGCTCAACCACCGTGGGTGCTTCCTAATGAAGTAAAGAGAGCTCTCTATCAAGCGGATGCCATCTCTGGCGCCTTTGAAGGCGTCCAAGGCCTCGTGAGTTATTTTTGTAACATGTTGTTACGGTATTTAGGTCTTTTACGCTATAGTTTGAAATCCAAAATACCTGACGTAAGATAACATTGAGACACTGACCTTAACTTACACTTGAGTAAATGGCTTGACTTCTGCGTAAGGGTACGCAGGATCTCCCTCACTAGAGAGTCGCCTCGTTCATTATAGAGATAACAGATCACGAGTGGAGAACGTTGTAGAGCGAGGAGAAAGGGGGGGGG